GTTTTTTTTCTTATCCATTGTTTTAGTGAATAGTCCACAAATTAGGCCTATTTGCGAAAACAAAGACAAGCCTGACATATTGTGAAGTGCTAAAAAAACTAAGGGAGATAACTTATTACGAGTAAACTTGATTAGAATAAGAAATTTATGAAGATTTTATCCTTTATGACTAAGGTAAATTTCCAAGAGAGAAAAAAACTGTGTGGAATGAAAGCAGTTTAGATGTGAAGTGGAAAGAATAAAGAAAAATAGTGAGTAAAAGAGAGGAGATGTAGAAAGAGAGGGAGAGAAAAAAAAGGGAGAAAAGCCATATTCAAAAAAACAACCCAAGAGTGTGTAAAGAATATAAAATGTAATCTTGATTTTCTGTTGTTTTGTCCTAAAGGTGAAAGGGCAACAGTTAATCTTCAAGTGAAGGTGTTTGAATTAGTCTAACAAGAAACAAAAAAGCTAGAGGCAAGCATTTTTTTTCTGATAAAGGCTGGGCAAAAGCACAGCAAAGGAGCAGCTTTGATTGAGACAAAATTTGTTTGGAAATCTAAGAGAAGAGAAGAGCTGAGGCAACAATTACTGCAAGTTTTAGTCAAGATCAACTAAAACTCAAATAGAAAACATGCATTAAACTTCTTCCTTTCGACTAACTAATCAATTCAGAAAACTTGTTTTTTAATAAAAATAAGGGTAGGCATATGAAGTTTGTACTATTTCTAATTAAGAATCATATGAAAATTAAAACATTAATAACAGTTAATTTAGGGCTTTATCTGAAGAATTTCTACTTTTCAGTACCTAAACATTTTTCAGTAAATTTAATACAAATGATCAAAAACTATAGAAAAATATAATACAATTTGTATTTTGTATAATTATTTCATATTAGTGCATGAAACTAATTCAAAACTTAACATTCCTTTAAAAAATACAGTTACTGTATGTAGACTGCATGTAAAGATATTAACAATAGACATGGGTATCAAAAAAACATTTCACATCTCTAGATTCTGTCTGAATTTTTGGGATAGGAAGTTATTATTTATACTATTTGTATTCAGACTCATCTTTGTTGTTATTGTTACAACATTTCATCTTTTGTTCCCTCCTGCCTTCATAAGGTGTATATATCAACTGAACCCTTTATTTAATCTACAGGAGTAGACGGTGTTCCACTGCCCACATCTAGAGATAATTTCTTATTTTTAGTACTGCTCACTTATTCTTTGCCCTGTTTCCACTGTGTCCAAGAATAGAGTGAAAGGATTGAATTTCCAGACCAATGCTTTCATCCACTAATCTATTGTCCTGTGGGATGAGGACAAAATCCCGCATGTAAATAATCACATCTCTACATTTGGGATTTAATTTTGATTGCTGAAGATGTTTAAATTTACTTTTTCTTAAAGTTTAAATGAAATGTTTTGCCTCTTATTTTTACTAAAAAAGTCGGAAAGGCTTATTCTATAAACTAAATTTCAGAAGGCAATTCTATTGTATGGCTTTGTCTTCTAGTAGGTAGTCAATACTAATTATTATATTGCAGAATTTTATCCAATAATCAGAATATTAAAAGAAAAAAATTTCCCTTAAGTTCTTCTTCAAAAATAGGTTGTTATTTAACTTAAAAATTGAAATAACATAACAAAATGATTTGTAACGTTCTTTTAAATTGAAAATCTTCAAAAGGTTTAGAAATATTTTTAGAGATGTATTCTGTTTCTAAATTTTTCAACTTACAACTGTAAAATAATTCCAAAAACCTACAGAAATAAGTAAAAAGTTCTAAAAAAATTAGAATTTGCTTATGATTCTGCTAGATTATCAGAAAAAAAAAATTGGAACAATTATTAAAATTTATTTGTGTGTAGATAATCATTTAATTGAAAGTAAAAGCAGTCAACTCAGAATGATTGTATTAACTAGAGAAAATCGATTTTATCAATATATATTTTTACACCTAGTGTAAAAATATGTTGATAAATACGATTTTCTTTTAATAAATTGTAATTAAAATACTGATTTTAGTGAATATTTCATTATTTAACATGTAAATCTTAAATTTTGGTTCATTAAACTGAAAAGAGCATTTTCACTGTCTATTCATTTTGTTTATGTTTTTTTTTTAATTATTCTTACTTCATCCTGCTCCTCATCAAAACATTTTAAGGACACAAAAATCTCCATATAAAATATCTACCTTCTATTTCTCTCTACACACACACACACACACATACAACATGCACACCTCAATTGCGAACACATGTCAGACTGAACTACAACAAAAAGAATAAATAATAAAACTTCAGAATAACTACTAAAGAGCAATTTCTGATTTTAAATTAACTTTTTTTTTTTTTTTTTTTTTACAATATGTTGTCACCTTGAAATTATTGATTTATTTAAATTGATTAGCAAATGGATTAAAAAAATAATGCATTAAATTTTAAAATTTGGATTCTGGATCATTGGTGGGGAGGGTGAATTTTTATTTTGTTCTTTGTTTTGCTTTTTGTGGTAATTGAACTGTATCTTCAGCTTCCAGGTAAGAAATTCATAAAGATTTAATCAACAATTCTCCAACCATTATCAGGTAATGGGAAGCCAGTGCTTCTAGAAGACATTCAAGACATACTAAAGGATGAGTACATTATAAGTAAACAAGCTCTGTACATAAAGAAAAGAAATACATTTAGGATTGTACAGGGTGTGGCAGAAATACCTCCCACATTTTAATTTATCACCTGTATGATGCTAGTGAACTTAGCAAGTGGCAATGGTGGCATCATCTAGCAAATGCCTTAATATTTTTGTCAATTACAATCATGGTTTGCACTGGTGCACACACTACATTTGCTGTTGAAACATTTTTTAAAGACTGGTGAATCTGTAATTGCAACACAGACAACTTTTTGTACTAATTTCATGTTACGTCAGAATGATGATGTGCCGGATATAAAATCGATTGGTTAAAAATTTCAGTGCCACAGATTCAACACTTAAAAGAAAGCCACCTGGAAAACCATAATGGCTCAAACTCCAGAAAATGCCCAGGCTCCGGGAATTGTTTCAAACATTGTATGGCAAATAAAAGCCACCATTTGGAGGATGATGTCATTTTTAAAACCAAATGAACAAAAACAGCAGATCTTTGTTTCAAGAACAGTAAAATATTTTTTTAATAGAAGTTGGTCTTTTTGTCAACCTTTAAAATGTGGGAGGTATTTCTGCCGCACCCTGTATAAATATGAATATCCACTATGGTGATATATCGTTTTCAGTTTATTTAACATAACAGTTTTGGATGACATTTAAATGAAAACTGCAATGATTTCAATCATATATATATATATATATATATATAAAGAAAGAGAAAGAACAGTTGGAGTTAGAATCCAGTTAACATTTACTTTTTTTAAAAAAAGTGCTCAATACAACGTAGAGCAAAATATAATATTATTAAAATATTTTTATTATAATAGATTACAATAAAAATATTTTACATTGCGACACAAATGCTTTCATGTTTCGGAACTTTAATAATTCCTCCTACCATCACCCAAAGAGGAAGGATTATAGTTCCGAAACATGAAAGTTTCTGTGTAGTGATGTAAAATGTTTTTATTGTAATCTATTATAATAAAAATATTCTAATAATATTATATAACTTATAGGTACTGCAGCTTGTTTCTTTTGTAGGAGATATATAGACTTTTTTTTTTTTTACAGGTAATAATTTTGATGTGAAGTGATTGATATTTACCAATATCAAGATGAAAGTTTAGGAACAAATTGCTTAAGTGACAGGCATATATTTTAATGTCTAGTGAATGAAATGTACTTCTCATACCATGAATTACTTACATGTGTCGATGTGTATGTATGCACATAATATATTATGTATTTGGGCAGCAATCCCTCTTTTATACAAGTTTCATTAAAGGTACTGTGATGAAGCTTTTTATTCAGTTTTTCTTGTTTTCTGGACATAAAGTGTGTAAAAATTGTCCAAATGTTCTATATATCCGAGCACTATCGGATATTCTATTAGCCATTATCAAGAATATTTTTAACTGTGTATCTAGACTGATGGAACGTTTTTTATTTTCCAAATACAGTCACCGGATTGTGGCTGTGTTCATAGTTGATGTTATCAAGTGTTTTTTTTTTTCTTCTTTTATTATTAATGCTTCCATTATTTTTATACACTTTATGTCCAGAAAAGAAAACACTTATATGAACTCAAGAAATATTAGACAAAAAGCTTAATTGCAATACCTTGTCAGTCATCTTTAAAAAATGTGTGCGTGTGTGTGTGTGTGTGTAACCTGGTCCATGCTATAGATGATCGTACAACAAAACCAAACAGAGGTGACAACAAATGATGCATGCATTTCTTTCTCAAAAGAAGAATTCTTTTATTAATTTATAAATAATAAGTGGATCGGCAAATAACTTTTATGAAATAATCTCTTCAACAAATTTTACTATTCTTACCTAAATCAAAAATTTTAGTTCTCATCTTTTTCGAATTACATTTTCTGTTTGTGGGATGTAAATAAATCATATGGCAAGATATAGATAGGGTTGGGGGGGGGGGGGGTCTGGGCAGGTATAGAGGGTGGGTATAGGAACTCCTTAAAGCAACTAGGGCTGATGTCATTGAGGTGAGGGCATGACCATGTTAAATGACATATATATATATATATATATGTTTGTAGGAGTTCAAATATACATGTGTCATTAAACATGCACACATAATCTGAACAATGGTCAAGTGGGCATATTCACTATGACTATCTTTTACAGGAAAAGAGAGATACATACAGGTGCTATATGCAAGTATATAAATACACATATGCATATATATATATATATATATATATATATATATATATATATATATATATATATAAATAAATGTATGTCCATATTCAGATATATACAGGCAAATATGTATGAATATACATGCTTAAAGTGGGGAAATACAAAGGGTCTCATTGTCTTACCAAGAAGTGATTCTGGTCGGTTGCTGGAGCTTAGAGTTCCGGTGGAAGAAAATTCAGGGCTTCGTTTGTAATAAAGAACACTGGTTGATACGGACAGATGTTTTGACGGTGGAACACTTGCTGGATATGAACCTAGAGTCAATGACAATAAGCATGCAAATGGACTAACTGAAACATACACTCATGCAATCTACAAAAAAGAAAACACAAAACATGGTGGGAGGGGGGAGAAGACAAAAGACAATGCCAAAATGGCAAGCCAAACCTGAAGGCACCACACTCTTATATATTTTTTCTTTTTTAATTTGCAGGCAAATTTGCAATGTCCAATGATACTACTCATAGGAGTTGTAATACAATAATTATAATAGTAAAAGAAAGGCAGAAAAAAAAATAAAAGAAAAAGTAAAAAAATTTTTTTTTTTTTCCTTTAAATTTTCATTATTTTCATTCCTTACTCTCCGTTGAATAAACCCCCTTAAAAAGAATGTTGTTGTTATTGTTGCCAAAGAATTTGTTTCTCTTCTATAACAGAACAATGCACAAAGAAATCAAGTCATAAGCAAGGATGGGAAGGCTCAAGAGATTTTTATCATCATCATCACTCTTCAGAAAAGATAGTGTTTTAGAAGATAGAATTGATAGAATAGCAAGTTCCCAGAAATCTCCACACAGCAAACACTTGAAATACGTACCCTGACTTTCCGGTAAACTATCAGACCAGTCTTCAATACAAAACGAAAGATTATTAAGACAATTTATTTAAAAAAAAACAAAAAAAAACAAAAAAAAAAAAAAATAAAAACATTGTTTATATGTAATCAAAAAATAAATGATTGTATTCCACAAGGCTTTTTACAACCGAGTACCCTAATTAACATCTACTTAAAACACATAAATATTTCTAAATATTTTAAATAGTTTGAAAACTCATTACCAATAATTTTTTCTTTTTTTTTTTCCTAAAAACATTAAAATTTTTTATGAGACTATGTGGAAAACAGATTGTCCGACTTATTTTTTATTTTTTTTTTTTTTTAAATTTAAAAATCCTACTACTAAATTAAAACCTTTCTTGGGCATTGACTGCTGGTATCAACAGCATTCTCGATACTCAAGAGATTATCTATAGCTTTAGTTATCTATCATGTTTTTGCTTTACATCTACAGTATCTACCTTTTCCAAGGGTATTTGTGTGAAAGTGAATATAACAAAATCAACTGGAATTCAAACTCAAGTTCCTTGATTGCTCATTTCAACTACCTGCACGTTTGCATGAAAAAAAAAAAAAAAAGTCGCACCCAAAACAAAAAAAAAATGCAAAAAATAAAAATAAAAATTGAGAAATTGCTGATATCCCCTGATGAGTGGATGGAGTGATTCCCAGAGGGTCTGTCTATGAAACTTTGGAGTCAAGATGCTGAAGTTAACACCAATCAGCTCAGTGACAAAACCTTTTACTTGTATCAATTCCATAATTTTATTATAAAAATAAATTTTATAAATAATTCTATGCAAAAATCTTATTCCTTTTGTATAATCTAAAGATTGCTGAGTAAATCAAACAATTACAAAAATAGATTCATCTATGAAACTCTGAAGTCAGGGTACTGAATATAACATCAAAGTGACAAATTTTATATTTGTATTAATCACACACAAATGTAAGATAGAATTTCTGGCTGAATTTTCCTACAAAAAGCAGGGAACTGATAAACTCTTTCCTGGTAATCAGTAAACATTGAGTAATTAAAAACAATCATTACTTATAGAAAAGAAAATTAATAAAATCATAAGTAACAAATTCAAAAAACACAATCAAAGACATGTTCTAACTTTTATAATATTCCAATTAATAATACAGAGAATGAATTGTGTTGTTACAAGTTTAACATTGGACACCTTACTATAGTATAGGGTAATGATAACTGAACTATTTCAGAAGGCTATTATTAACATTGCTGTCTAAGAATTCAGAGTGCCTCAAATTTTGGGTCTCGTGTCAGACTTAATAAATTTAACATTTTATAAGATCATTTTCCTCTGCTCAGATTTTGATATCAAATATTTATCTTCCAGTAAATTGGCTCCAAAATTAGTCTGACATAAATGATTAAATCCTAGAGTCTCAAATTCATAGATTCATCTCAGTATCAATATAAATTGGTTTGAAGATTCAATTAGAATAATAAAAAGGACATCTTTCCACATCAACTTAATCTACAAAAAGGCAATATGATTATATCATAGCTCTTCCACCATAATGAAAAAAATAGCTCTCTTTGTTAGGATCATTGGTTAAACCATTGAAATGTAGACTACATATCAGAAGACCAGTTACCAATGATAGGTCAATGACACACCAACAAATAGAAGAAAACTATAATATACTTCAATATATTATTGGAACATTTTTTTTTTTTTGAAAATGAAGCCAACTTTGGTTAAAATGACAAACATTTGCCATTCTTTGTGATAATAATACAATCACTAAATATGTTAAAATAGTGCTTAAAAAAAAGATGAGACTCGTTCAATATTCCTTAATTCCAATTTTTCAGTGTGCTAAATATTGTTGAGATTATCACGTAGGCCACCAGCAACCAAGAGTCCAATTAGAACTCCTCCCAAAATTATTGTCTGTAAAATTAAATGATGTCTTTCATTGTAAACATTTTATTTACTGTTCTTTCTTTTTACAAGTTTCAAAGTGAATAAAATGGATTCATTTGACAAAAGTAGTGATAACCAAATGCTTTCAACAAAATAAGAGGGAAGAGACTACTTAATATGTGCAAAAGAAGAAAGGAGGAGAAAGGAGGAGAAAAGAAGAAAGGAGAAAAGAAGAAAGGAGAAAAGAAGAAAGGAGAAAAGAAGAAAGGAGAAAAGAGAAGAAGAAAGAAGAGAAGAAGAAAGGAGAAGAGAAAAAAGAATAAAATAGGGGAAGGGAATAAAAATGAAAAAAAAGAAAAAAGGAGAAAAAAGGAGTAAAAAGAAGAGAAGAAATAGGAGAAAAAGAAGAGAGGAAAAAAGAAGAAAAAGGTGAAAAGGGTAGAAAATGAAGAGAAGAAAAGGAGAGAAAAGGAAAAGAAAAAGTAGGATAAAAGTAAAAAGAAAAATAGGAAAGAAGAAAAAGAGTAAAGAAAAGTGAGAAAAGAATAAGAGGAAAAAAGAAAAGAGATAAAAAATGAGAATGGGAAAGAGATGAAAAAGAGAGAGAGAAAAAGAAAAAAGTAAAAAAAAAAAAAAAAAAACATGTCCCAAAAAATTGCAATTTCTGCAAGAAAAATAATATCTATATCACTCAATAGTATATTTGTTTTTAATAAAGAAATAAGAATAAAAGAGAAAAAAGAAAAGTGGAAAAAGAGGAAGAGAGGAAAAAAAAGAAAAATGTGCCATGAAAAATTATTTCAATTTCTGCAAGAAAAAAATATGTAATATCTATATCACTCAATAGTATGTTTTTTAATAACATACTGTACAAAAATAACATTTCTACTCTTATTGATTACTGTTTTTTTTGTTTTTTTTAGATTAAATAAGTGTACACAGCTTTGTCCTCAAGCATTTGAAGAAATTATCAATACAGATATGTGTACTCATTTTGATTGCCAGTCATAATGTTTCAATCATTGGACAAGCCCAGACTTCAACAGGTATTTGATTACCTTGTGGGAATTCCAAAGCAAGCCATTTATTTAATCCTCCACAGTATGGATATCAGTTAATTTTCCCTGATCACTTAGGATTTGTGATATTGGTTTTGCTTTCCCTACTTAACTAGAGATAATAAATTTCACTGCTTGACCAAATATGACAGAAGCCAAATGGTACAAAGGCTTAAATATCTTGACTAAAACAACCATGATGAGGACATTGTTCAAAATAGATTTAGGTGCAAAATATGTTAATTCCTCATCTCAGGAATTCAGACTAAAAATGTATAAATGTTTCAACACAATTCTCTTCTCTGCTGTTATCATTATGCACAACTGTAATTCATATTAATTACAATATTTTCCAGCATAAAAAAATAAAATATGAATTTTAGTTCAAAGAAAGAAATGGCAGCTGAAAGAAAAAAAAATGTTAGGTAATAAATCATCAGTGATTGTGTTTTTTGGTTTTAATAAAAAATTTTCAAACAATATTTTTTTAACCTTTCAACAACGCATAGGAAAAACATCAAGTACTTATACAGACTATAATAAACTCAATCCTGGAAATTTAAGTTTAATCATTATAAACATTAGCAATTTTATTCCTGTGCCAATTTACAAAAGTGATGATGTCAGACAACTGAAATGTTCTGATCCACAAAAAATATCTCAAGAAAAGTACAGCAAGTTTTGAATAGACATATGAAATTTGCAAAAGTTTGTATCCGATTAGAAAATTAAAAACAAAGAAAATCAGGCATTAACTTTTGCAATGCTCCAATACTTCAAGTATAAAAAGATTGGTGGTTATTATGATGATGATAATAATAAAAAAAAGACATTACCAAAGCACCATCAAGAATACCTGTAAATAGAAGTAACAGGGTAATACACTACAGTTGGGACACAGTCCAAATCATCACTAAAAATTGACACAGTTATTGCTAAACAGTAAACCAAATTTTCAGTATTGAATCCATTTGACCAGGCATTGAAATATGTTGAGGAAAACTTTACTGTTTCCCAAAATATTTTAAAATGAGTTTTCTATAATTATTTACACTATTAACATTGTTTGGACTGTTGTCCTCATCTTTGTTTCAACCATTGCATTCAACAGCTTGGAATTGAGGTGATTGTAATTTTAAACTGAACCCTTTATTTCGTCATCTGGGGTAGATTGTTCTAGTTCCAAGTGTCATGCCTCTTCCAGATGTCTCAGTATCAGTTATCTCCCTTTAACTCAACTGCCCAAGACTTTGTTCACCTGCTGTAGCTAGGTATTGAACTCACAACTCTTTAGGTCAAGTGACTGGATTCAACCAACACTTTTATCCATGTGTCCTTGAGGACATTGTATGAATTTTTGGGACTTATAAACCTAAACTCCAGTCACCTGAAGAAGGCTGGAGCATACAACAGCTGAAATATTGTAAATATGGCAACAAAGATGAGGACAACAGTCCGAACAATGTAAATACTTTAATTACAATACCTCATCTCAGAAATATGGACAGGGTTTTCTATAAGTAACAAATTTATATGAAGAATTAAAGAAAGAAAAACATTTCTAAAAATAAAGATTGTTTTTGTGTTTTTTAAAAAAAAAAAAAAAAAAAAAAAAAAAAAAAAAAAAAGCTAATCAACCCTTTGGGAGGTATTTAAAACAAAAATAAATTTTGGGTTAAATTAGGTTGCTTACAGTACCCAGTGTTTCCAGGTGGCACCCTATTTAGATACTGAGCAGACTCAACATTGCTCTAAAAGTAAAGAAATTATCATGTAGAAAACAGAGATAAGTATTTTCATTTTTCGCTTCATTCGAAATAAGATGAGGATAATCTTCTGCATAACCCACAGAATAAAAATAAAAAATACAGCATCTTAAACCGAAGAGAATGTTTTTTTGTAACCTCAGAAGATTTTTCAGTATTTTGTTTTAACAATAAGGGAATGTAACTACTACCTCTGTCTCATAATAATTATTACATTTCACAAATTTTTATATAATATATTTATATATATATATATATATATATATATATATATATATATATATATTTAAACTTAGGTAATCCGTGCGGGTAGACACGAGGAGGATGATATCCAGAGAGCTCAATTTGTAAAATTCAGAGCAGATATGTTTGAATAAAAAACAGACCACATTAAGATTCCATATAATAAACTATTTCACCATAACCCCTTTAACAGGGTTCTGGATCATCAGACTTTACTTCCAAAAGATGAAATGAAAAGAAATTCACACGTTTTTGACAGCCCTCATCAAGTATATGTAAAATTAATGGAGGAGAGACGCGTTAAATTTGAGCAACATCTAGCCGACACACTGGGGTTAAAAATAGGAAATTGAAATGATACATATGACACACTCATATCCTCTCTCCCACCTCACTTCCTTAATTTTACGTATACTTGATGAGGTCCGTCAAAAACGTGTGAATTTCTTTTCACCTTTCATTTCAGCTTTTGGAAGTAAAGTCTGATGATCCAGAACTCTGTTAAAGGGGTTATGGTGAAATAGCTTATTACATGGAATCTTAACGTGGTCTGTTTTTTATTCAAATATATATATATATATATATATATATATATATATAATAAAATGTGTGTGTATGTATATATGCAGATATAACTAATATGGGATGTATGGTATAATAAAATTGGCTATGTATTTGCATATAATTATGGAACAAAGATAATATAAGGTGCAGCAGAAATACTTCCCACTTAATAGTAAGACATTAGTAGCAATGGTGTCTTCATCTAGACAATGCCTTACCATTATGTGTGATGTATTTCACACCATTTAATAAAACTAGAGAATATATCAACATTGATCATGGTTTTACATGGTTCTGAGACATATAATCATATTTAAATATTTTATTAAAAAAAATAAAGCATATCTTAAAGAACAATTTCATTAATTGAGACAGAGTCAGATCGAAATTCTTAAATTTAAATACAAGACTAAGCATGGGGGCAAGATAAGCAGATATATGTTGTATATATATATATATATATATATATATATATATATATATATATATATATATACACACACAACAGCATTCTCATATAGAATGGCATAATATATAGTAAAAAAAAAAATAGCCAGAGAAATAATTTATACAGTTTTTCCTATAATAGAAAAATTCAACAAAAATTCACAAAAACCTATATAAAACACATTTTCTTTACTAAGATGTCTCAAATGTACAGGCCAATCAATATACCCTGTTTAATAAATTAAAATTGGGTGCCTATTTCAAATATGAAGTGTCCATTTTAATAACATTTGAAGTACAAAAATGTCAAATTAAAAATAAATCCATCAAGTCTTTAGAAATTGCTTTGTTTACATTTCAGATATGGAAACAAGCACATATGGGCTTTCAAGAAAAATATAATTTGAGTGAAAAAGGATATGCTTTCCTTAAAAAGGGAAAATTGAGCCTTGCTAACTGTGAGATTATATATATAAGTAATCTCCCTTTAATAATATATAAAAAATTAATATTCACTACTCTAAAATAAAAAAAATTATTTTTCTTTTCTTACACATACATATACAAATCCCGTTTATTTTAAATGACAATATAATCTTTAAAATCAAAAAACTAATCCCAGAATAATATATATCTACTCCAACATTACAATAACCAGATATAATTTTTAAAATTTAAATTATGTAACGGCCAGAAGATTGCATTGTGTATGAAACTATTGTGCTATCGGTGAGAGATAATATGTATATTTATTAATGTATACTTAATACCTCCGTTTTATTACATTGAGCACACCAGCAATACATATGTGATATATATATATATATATATATATATATATATATATATATATATGATAGCTGGGATCAAATATGGATTGGAATCCAACAGAATAAGCTCAAGAATAAATAAAAAAAAATGTTTATCTGTCTAACATGTTCCACTTTTATTAAAGCTTCACCAGAGAATGACATATGGAGTAAAAAAAAAAAAGAAACACTGGCATTTTTACTTTTGTGTTGTTTGATCTTTATTGGTTAATCAGGTTTCACATGCATTTGACTTGTTAAACAAATGTTAGTATAATTTGTGGCATTCTGAATTCAAGGAGAGACGACGCATCCATTTGAAGTTTCAAGAAATAAACAGATTCCAAGCCTAACTGAAAAATCATAAATGTTGCTTTATGTATATAACTGTATAATAATTCTAGTTTGTCTATGTGATATTTAAAGTAAAAATACCAAAATACCAGCATTTCTTTTCTTTTTCTCCATATATCATTATCTGAAGAAGCTTTAATAAAAGTGAAATGTTAGATTGATAAAGGTTTTTTATTTGTTCTTTTTATTTATATATATATATATATATATATATATATATATATAATCCTAGTATCAAAATTTTTACTTTTGAAAGTAGCTCTTTCTGGTGCAAACAAATAATTTATAGAGCCAATCAGAATGGCTAAATATTTTAATATAACATCCATTTTGCTTGAACTTAAATTTAAAAGCTTACCAACACCTTTGAGGAGTTTTCTAGTTTAACAATTTACATAACTAT